GGAAACACCACACTTTTCGTATAAGTACTTATATACTCCTGTCATGACAACTTTAGAACATTTTAGAAGAAACAGCAAGTGGTTGAACGTCGAAGTTAATTGTAAATACCAAAAATAATCATGGGAAAACAAACAAGTATTGAAACGCATAAAATTATATTAAACTTAAATAAAAAAGGTAAATCCTTACGCGAAATAGCAAAAATAGTGGGAAGAAATCACTGCACAATAAAAAATTTTTTGGATAAATACGCAAGACACCATACTGTAGCGGATTTACAACGCGTTGGACGACCAAGGCGCCTTACAGAAGCACAGGCGAGAACTGTGGTCAGAGAAGTGAAGAATAATCCATGTACAAGTGCGGTTAAAATAGCAAACGACATCGAAGCTCCAGATTTTTGGAAAAATATATTGTTCAGTGACGAGAGTAAATTTGAAATTTTCGGAAAGAGAAAACCAACAAAGATATGGCAGCCAAAAAATGAGGCCTTCAAAGAGAAATTTGTTACCAATACCATATCAAACACGGTGGAGGCTCGGTTATGGTCTGGGGCTATATGGCGGCGTCAGGGGTCGGTAATCTAGTTTTTATAGAATCAACAATGAACAAAATGGACTATTTAACCATTTTAAAGAACAATGTTACCCCGAGTGTTAATAAATTGGGCTTATCAGAGAACTGGATCTTTCAACAGGATAACGACCCAAAACACACATCCAAAATCCTCGCTCCTCGCCCGCAAGCGACTTTGGCGATTTAAGACGAAATTGTGCCTTATTTATCTTGATAAAGATAGAGAGTCTCTTATAAGAAGACCTCAAACCGCCGAGGTCGCTTGTGGGCGAGCCAAGTCAATGTACAGAGTGGGCAAATTTGGGTTTTATTATAGGCTATCTCAGAAACTATAAGAGATACGAAAAAAGTAGGTGCCATGTCCCTGTTTCTTTTTCCGAGACTAATCCAATCCCGCAAGGACGAAACCTCTACTTCTTTTTGCATTTTACTTCCCAGATAAGAACACTGCTAATCACTGAAATTGTCTTCTTCAATAGGTTTTTTGCTTTACTGAAGATAAAAAAACATTAAAAAGTATCAATCATATAGAAAATTTTCCGCTCTATGCAGTAGTATATAAGTTTATGCAGTGATTTATAATGACAATTATGATACTGTAATCATTTACATAAGGCAATTATACGCTGTTTTCGCTGTTTTTGCGGGTAAAATGGTTGTGCAATCATACCACCGACTAAATTGATATATCACTGCATAGAGCGTAAAATTTCCTATAAATTCTACATGATCTTGGAGTTTTGTCCGTATCATATAAGAAAGTTATGACATCGTAAACATTTACATACGGTAATTATACGTGAATTTTATAGTTTTTGGGGGGAAAATGCTTGTGCAACCATGCGATCTACTAAAGTTATATACCAAAGTATAGAGCGCAAAATTTCCTACAGATTCTATATGGTCTCGGAGTTTTGTCCGTATCATATAAGGAAGTTATGGCGCCATAAACATTTTCAATCGGTAATTATACGTGGTTTTTGCAGTTTTTGAGGCGAAAATGCTTGTGCAACCATGCAATCTACCGAGGTTATATACCAATCTATAGAGCAGAAAATTTCCTATTGGTTGTATATGGCCTTGAAGTGTTATGTGTTTCATATAAGAAATTTATAACCCCGTAAACATTTACATATGGTATTTATACGTGGTTATTGCAGTTTATGGAGGGAAAATGCTTGTGCAATCATGCAATTTATTAAAGTTATACACCACTGTATAGACCGGAAATTTTGTTATACATTCTATATGGTCTCAAAGGTTTGTCTCTATCATATAAGAAAGTTATGACGTCGTCAACATTTACATGCGACAATTATACGTGGTTTATGCAGTTTTTGGGGGAAATGGTTGTGCAACCATGCGATCTACTAAAGTTGTATATCAACGCATAGAGCGGAAAATTTCCTATAGATTCAATATGGTCTCGGAATTTTGTCCATATCATATAAGAAAGTTATGACACCGTAAACATTTACATACGGTAATTATACGTGAATTTTACAGTTTTTGGGGGGAAAATGCTTGTGCAACCATGCGATCTACTAAAGTTATATACCACAGTATAGAGCGCAAAATTTCCTACAGATTCTATATGGTCTCGGAGTTTTGTTCGTATCATATAAGGAAGTTATGGTGCCATAAACATTTTCAATCGGTAATTATACGTGATTTTTGCAGTTTTTGAGGCGAAAATACTTTTGCAACCATGCCATCTACCGAGGTTATATATCAATCTATAGAGCAGAAAATTTCCTATTGGTTGTATATGGCCTCGAAGTGTTATGTGTTTCATATAAGAAAGTTATAACCCCGTAAACATTTACATATGGTATTTATACATGGTTATTGCAGTTTATGGACGGAAAATGCTTGTGCAATCATGCAATCTATTAAAGTTATATACCACTGTTTAGACCGGAAATTTTGCTATAGATTCTACATGGTCTCGGAGTTTTGTCCGTATCATATAAGAAAGTTGAGACACTTTAAACATTTACTTACGGTAATTATACGCCAATTTTACCGTTTTTGTGAGGAAAATGCTTGCGCAACCATGCGATCTACTAATGTTGTACACCAACGCATAGAGCGGAAAATTATCTATAGATCCAATATGGTCTCGGAATTTTGTCCGTATCATATAAGATAGTTATGATGAACTAAAGATTTACATATGATAATTATACGCGGTTTTTGGAGTTTTTGGGGCGAAAGTACTTGTGCAANTTGTACACCAACGCATAGAGCGGAAAATTATCTATAGATCCAATATGGTCTCGGAATTTTGTCCGTATCATATAAGATAGTTATGATGAACTAAAGATTTACATATGATAATTATACGAGGTTTTTGGAGTTTTTGGGGCGAAAATACTTGTGCAACCATGCAAGCTACTAAAGTCATATACCAACGCATAGAGCGGAAAATTTCCTATAGATTTTATATGGTGTCGAAATTTCGGCCATATCATATAAGACCGTTATGACGCCGTAAACATTTACATGCGGTAATTATACAGGGTTTTTCCAGTTTTTGAGGGGAAAATGCTTGTGCAATCATACCATCATCTAAAATAATATACCAACGCATAGAGCGGAAAATTTCCTATAGATTTTATATCGTGTCGGAGTTTCGGCCATATCATATAAGACCGTTGTGACGCCGCCGTAAACATTTACATGCGCTAATTACAATTATACACGATTTTTGCAGTTTTTTTGGGCAAAATGCTTGTGCAATTATGCCATCTACTAAAGTGATATACCAACGCATAGAGCGGAAAATTTCTTACCTATTTTATATAGTTTCGGAGTTTTGTCCACATCAAGGACAAATCAGTAAGGTGTTTTTTCAAAAATGGTTTTAAAATGTTCTATTAAAATTTTTTGAAAGAGCAGAAAATTTCCTATATGACTGATACTGCTTTAGTTTTTTGTTCCAACCAAATATATGAGTTGTATTGAGAACGTTCAATCTACCGATTATAGGTGTACTGTTGTTTATTAGACGTGTTTTTTTGCCGACGCCGATAGATATTGACCTAGCAAAACTCGGATTTAGATAGCTCAAAGTGTGTTCTTTACAAATTGATAAAGCTTTTTTTTAAATTCGGTTCGGTGTACACGGCCACGTTCTTTATTTATTTCCGCTGTTGATATCGTATAGGACAAAACCTGGTTTTAAATTAACAAAAGATCAGGCTTTCTAGTAGTGTATTTAATATTCCACTATCTCTAACGACAACGAAGATATCGGTTCGAGTATTATAAATTAATTCATTAACAAAGCGGATATTTATTTGACCATTTATACACTCTAACCAACTAATTAACAATTCCATCCACATATAATGACCACTTCAATATTTTTTTAGCGCACTATCAGAACTATTTAAACACTTTATTCTTGATAACTATCAACATGCAGTCGTAAGCTGCAATTTAACACAATTGAAGTTTACCAAGTAAATTTCCGGGTAACAAAAATAACGAGTGATGTAATTCTGGTTATAATTTTTTTAAATGTTATATCACCAATTTTAATTTTAAACTGGGGCGTTTAAACTTAATTTAAAATTTTCTGCCAATAAATTAGAATGGCGTTTCTACATTCTCTATGCAGATTTCACTCCGGTTAATTTTAAAACATCATTTTTTTTTTCTTTAAACATTTTAGTATTCATAAAAGTGATGGCGGCTTTACGATCGTATACGATTTACTATTTTAAAACGCGAAACGCGCCTCTTCGTGTTTATACCTGAGGCGAAAACTTATTTCGCTCACGTATAAGACTTAAGTTTTAACTGGTTTGTATTCCAATCAGGACGATCACTTTCCGTTTCGTATAATTATTATGAATTTATAAATAACAATACCACAAATATATTAATAAACAAAAAAATTTCTTTATACGGAAGAAGAATTTTAAAATTAAAGTTAGTACTAAAAATAACTCGATTTGAATTGATCTAGGTTTTTTGGAGAGAAATAAATAGTGACTCGATGATCTAATTTCTGAGTTCGTTTCATCTACATATAAATAAACAATGAAATTAATTTTTTTTGCCTTCTCTGTGTCCATCTTTTGGGCGATCGTCCTTGTGGTCTTTTTCCTTTCGGCCATCCATACATACATATTCTGGCCAATCTCTTCTCATCCATTCTTTCCACATACTCCTTCCACATTTTCTTTCTTACTTTTCTCCGTTTTAGTACATCCTGTATATTATATCTTTCTCTGATAGAGGTGGTCTGCCTATCTCGCAGTGTCACATCCAACATAGATCTCAAGACTTCTTTGTTTCTGCTGCATGGCTTTGTATTTAACATAGATGTGCTTCCTTACATAAATCTCAATAGCTTGTAATTTCTATATGTAGATTAACTTAATTGTTTTGTAAAATATCTAATTTGTTGTAGCGTTACCTTTAGAAGAACCCCCTTGGAATTACACTCCACCACTACCTATTCCTCAAACCAGAGAGTACATCATCGAACCTGATTGGGATTCGACTTACACTATTTAAATTACTAAAAATCCGTTTTTCTTTCTGTTTTAATAAATAGATAAAAACTCAATAGATTGTTGTTTCATTTCATTCAACTTATTTACATTAATAACCATATCGTACCTACTCCTTTTTAATCGGAAACGTTTACGATGTGTTTATAGCGTTGTCTTATCGAGAACGTTTTAATGAGAACAGTACCGGATTTATTATAAAAAAAAGTAAAAGTTAAATTTTGTATTTGGCGGTTTATCGAATAAACTTAGATTAATCACTAATAGATGGCGCTGTATAATAAACTCAATATTTATGGATTAATAATTAATTTAATTACTTTACGTTTATTGGAAACGTTTTAAATGTACATGTAAAATAATTCAATATAATTTAATTTAATATTGTTAAAAAAATTAATCATCAATCCAATTTGATTTTTAAAATTTGGCACTTTTGACAAATTTGACATAAATGTCAATGTGACAGATACACAAATCACCTCAACAAGTTGATTAATTATTTTTGATGATTAAAACGAATCTATATAATAGTGTAAAAGATATGATTTTAATTAAAACATACATAACAACTAAGAGGTAATTTTAATATTAAATTTGTGTTTAATTTTAAATTTATTTTTTATTTATTTACAGGTGTACACAAAATCCTAATATTTTTATAATCATCTTCTCGGAATTTTACCTAAATACGAACCTGTCGATTGCAGTGCAGCCACCTTTAGTAGATAACCAAACAATAAGTGGGAGTGAAACGAAAACCAGGAGCCAGTTCGTTTTCAGTTCTATAACTTGACACTTCGGTTTCGATTCGTTTCTTAAACACGATCACCTTTAAAACCTTACCTTACGTTCAAAAAGAACGATATAATTCTAATATTGGTAGCTATTGTTATGTTAAGACGGATCTTATTGAAAAATAATATTATTATTATCGAATGTGTTACGGCAGCTGTGAAACGGTGTTGAAACGTAACGAAAACATTGGACACGAAAAGTAGTGAGTAGTGGCGTTCGAAAAACGACCAATTGCAATGATTAACGACGAATGAAATGAAGGATCTCAAGAGTGTTTCGGTGCAAGTGATCGACAGCGATATCGCCTTGCTGTTTCCAAACGGTGGCCTCTATGAGATCAAGCAAATGGAGCCCAGGTCCTCTAAACTGAAGAGCGTTGTCATCTTTTGCTGTTTTTTGGCTCTTTCCGGGATCGTGGGCTTCGGATATTTCTGTCAAGACAGGGTAAGCAAATAAAATTAACAAAAAAAAGCTTTTTTGTACTAATAAAACCACTGCCATCGGAATGCGGTAGTAAAACCTCGAAACTGATGGTCTTAAATTAAATATAGAGAAGAGGAAAGACGGTTTCGTAAATGGGTTAGTTGGGTTTGTTTTTGTTTAGCTTTGGTTTTTAGGTTAGATTATATGAAAAAAAATTAAGTTTTTTGAGAATAAAGATATTCTGTTAAGGTCTTCTTGTCTTCGTCATTTCAAGGAAACATTAATAATTCAGTTAATGTCGCTGGGCGAACAAAAAATGTGCAGCATCTTTTAGAGACGTGGGTTGGGGGACGGACAAACGCGTTCTTTACGATTCTAAACATGTGGCATATGTGTTTAAGTTAAGTCCGAGCTTTCGGAAGTAGTGGCATTAAAATTGCAAAGCAGAACCGATGGTAAGGAAGAGTATACAAGGGAAAGAGGATGAGAATCGTATTGTACACTATGTAAACAAATGTACAGATTTAGAACTTGTATTTATCTAGATAAATTCTTGTAATTTTAGATACAGTTCAAATTTTATTATTAATTGATTATGAATTATTATTAATTAATTCGTTTGAATAAAAACGTTAATGTAGCTTTTTATATTGTTATCTTAAAATTTAGATAGATAATATAACAAATAATAGTGCAAAAATTATCCGTGCGAGAATATTAAATACACCACCAGAACCCCTGATCTTTCCTTCATCTAAAACTGAGCTGAACCCCGACTCTAGCTGGACAAAATAATTTTATGGCCTTCACAAGGGCTAGAATAGCTTAAAAAATATACAGGGTGTTAGGTAAACATGCGGCAAAAATTCTAGGGGTTATTCCTTAGCCTATTCTAAGAATATTTTGTCCTACGATTATTTTTGAAAAACCCCTTTGTTTCGAAGATACAGGGCGAATAAAATTTGCGACAGTAACAACATTTTATTATCAAAAAGTACATGTGAAGTTGCTCAATCTACAATAAATGTTCGAAATGACTTCCTCCAGCCTGAATACGGATTTCGCAAATCGTCCAAATTCTCCGCTGGAGTAGCGTAAACTAATGACTTCAGAGATCCTCAGAAAAAATAACCCAGGGGGTTTAAGTTTGGGGATCGAGCAGGGCATGCGTGTGGCCCACCTTGACCAATTCAGCGATTTCCGTACGTTGCTGTTAAAAAATTACGAGCAACCAAACTGAAATGTGGTGTTGCACCATCGTGCATAAACCACATTGCAAATTTTGTCGCGTATGGTACATCCTCCAGAAACTCAGGTAGCGTTTCTGCCACAAAGTTGCGATACATCACGCCAGCAAGTCTTCCTGGTAGAAATACCGGTCTAATTAGATAATCATCCACAATTCCAACCGAATGATCTTCACATACCTCATGCGGATTTTCATCTGTCCACACATGATTATTATAAAAATGCTTTATTGTATTTCTGGAGAAACTGGCTTCATCGCTCAAAAGAATCTGTGTCAGGAATAGGGGGATGCGAACTAATGTTTGCAATATCCATTGACATAACGCAATACGTGGAGGAAAATCAGCAGATAGAAGTGCTTGAAGGCGTTGAATGTGGTATGGATACAACAAATTGTCCTTACGAATTTTCCAAACTATCCAATGACTTACATTCAAAGTATTTGCAATTCTTCGCGTAGAACTACCAGGATCTTCCTCTATCATGTCCAGCACATTCTGTTCCAATTGTACCCTTCTTCCTGGACCTCCACTTCGTTTTAATGAGCCTGTTTCATGAAGACGTCGATGAATGTTTTCGGTCGGGGACATTACGGGCAGGAACATCGTTAGATGTACAATCGTCTAGCTTCTGATGAATTACCATCAGCAAGTCTATACATGAAATGCATGTCAGTCATCTCGGCGTTCGTATAAATCATAATAAAGTAGGTACTACACTAACTGTTAAAGACACGTCAAACAGCCAAACGTCACTCAATTTAAACAAATGCGATCGATAAGACGTATTTAGGTACTTGATAAACTTATTGACGTACGCCATACTTTTATTTACATTAATAATTTCAACAAATATCGAATATGGTTGTCGCAAATTTTGTTCGCCCTGTAGCTTCGAAACAAGGGGCTTTTCAAAAATCATCATAGGACACAATATTCTTAAAATAGGCCAAGAAATAAGAATTTTTGCCGCATGTTTACCTAACACCCCCTGTATATGAAGGAAAAAAGTAGGTGTTAGATTTTATATTGTATTATTTCATTTATATTAGATTTTATATGTATTATTTCGTTTATTTACTCTAGTATTGAAATGTATCGAGCTGAGGGTTTTTTATCGTATCATTTGCTTGTTTAGTTAAGTGTTGAAATGCGTTAGGGTGTTTATATTTAAGTCTTTGGGTAAGGCAAGGATTTTGGCCATGGTTTTAAATAAAAAAGGAGCCTGCGAGCTCTAAACTGTAGCTTTCATTTGACCAGTCTTCGATTTAACACGCAACGAAACAGTACGTCTTCGATTCACGCGGAGCAACCTCCCATAACTAATCACAATTTATGTATACAGGGTGTCCCACGTAACCGACAAAGCACATGAATGGCATTAAGGAGCCAAGCCACGCAGTTCTTGGGAGGAATTGTCAACAATCAAAGATGTATCATCAGATGAATCTGTCGTAATTTAAATTAGATCAAGTTGTTATGATTGTTATCATCAAGCAGCCCTCTGCGTCCATTGTTGGACATAGACCTCCCCTACTATGTGCCATTCGATTCTATTCTGTGCTGTCTGAATCCAATTGTTGGTCATTCTTTTGACGTCTACTTCGTCTGTTTGCTCGCGGTCTTCACTCAAGCAATCGTTTTGTTCACTGCTCATTCTTCGATGAAAAATACATCAATAATGTTAAATATTAAATTTTAAGAAATAATCTCTGGATAATTAACAGGGTTTAAATTTGGTTTAGAAGATATTTTTGCAGCTTTCTTCAGATAACACTTTTTCAATTTGTAACATGCCTAGATTAATGATCATTTATCCTCCTCATTAATTTGACGTTGTGCCGGAAGAAGGACATGCTGGTGTTCCGAAACAGCTGTAGCACATAAATAAAAAATAAAACATTTTTCATCGTTATTCATCGATTTCATTGATTTAATTTTATAAGTTGGATTAACACTTAAACAAAAATAAACAATTATGTCGTCGAACAGACAATATAATGGAAGAACAAATTAAATGTATAGCGAGAGCGTCTGACGCTCTATTTACATTTACCGTTTTCAAAATAACTTCTTACATACTATTATTCGCTATAATAATACATTTTTTGTAGAATTCGGTTTACTGAAGCCTTGAGAAAAACCTTACATTTTGTCATTGATTTTTTACATTTGTCCAGCTAGAATCGGGATTCAGCCCAGAGTGCGCCGTAAACATTTGCATACGACAATTATACACGATTTTTGCAGTTTTTGGGGGATAAAATGCATGTGCAACCATGTGATCTACTAAAGTTATATACCACTGTATACAGCGAAAAATTTCCTATAGGCTCTATGTAGGTTTAAAGTTTTGTCCGTATCGTATAAGAAAGTTATCAACCCGAAAGTGATTTAATGCGCTCCAAAAATACACCGGTAAGGTTGTAGTTTTTCAAAAAAAGAAATTGTGTCAAAACCTCGTTTTTCATTTTTTTGTGCATCAATAGAAAGACCAGAAAATGTTCTATATTTTTGATAAGGATTTCGTTTTTTTCTGTTTCAGCAATTAACAAAGAGATTTTGTACGAAGCTGAAAAAAGTTTTGAGATAGGAAGCTAATCTGTGTACTTCAACTCTTGATAATAGGCCACATTTTTGTCTTTTTTATCAGAATGCATTTTGTTCAAATGATCTTGTAACCTAAAAAACCTGTTTTTTGGGAAAATAAGGCACATAAGCGAAGAGGGATTTGTGGTATTTTCTAGAAATCCGTATTTAATATATTCCGGATTGTATTGCCGTCTTTTCCTTTGCTTCCGACATAGTAATTTTGTCGAGACAAATATCTTGACTTAACCTTAATTGAAGAATTGTAGATATAAAAAACTTGCTAGCGATTACACGTTTTTATAGGTTTAAAATACAACACGCACCGACAGGAACAGACAGGAACAAGCCATACATGCATAAAGGCACAAACTTGTTTAAACCGGGCGTACATCACGTCTCTTTATCGACCAGTATCCGAATGCGTTCTCACTTCTCCGTTTACGCATGTAGACGCAGATGATAGATAAACTTGCATAAATTTAATTTTAATACAATCTGGCCAGAAATAATATGTATATGTATATTGTCGATAGTATATAGTAGATCGATTTTGATTTTAGTTTTTACACTTTAATTAAAATATTATAGTGTATTCTTTTGGGTGTATTTTACCGTGGTGATGTACAATTTTGCAATCGTACACCAATAGAAAGAGAGGCTATTTGAAAAAGACGTATTCTTAAACGACCAATTTTCTCTGCACTTTTTACCGCCCCCCCTATAGGCCTCTAGTACCCACAAGGAGGCGTTATCGCTTACTTTGAGAAAGACTGACCTAGGCGTTATTATTGACTATTATCTGACATAGTTTAAAGACAAAATCAGCAAAAATGTCGTTTTTACATGTTTTTAAAAAGACCCTGCAACGGTCATATTTTGGAAAAACAATTAAATATCTCAGGAACTATTAATGCTGTCAGTTTGCAACATATACGGTTGGATAATAAAATTTAGTTGTACTCATAATATGACAAAATATACAGGGTGTTTCATTAAAAAAAAATTACATACACTTCGTCACACGTAGTTACGTGAATAAACAAAATTTGCGTTTCTGGGGTACGGAGAACTCACATGAAATGTACGAAGAGATATTGTATCTCTCACTGGTGCACCATTTGCAGTGAAAAAGTGATTGGCCCTTATTTTGTTGGCAGATGTTAAACGAGTTTTTTTGCTACA